TCCCTTCCAGCCCTAATGTCTGTGAAATCTATGAAATCAATAAAGAAAGGGACTATGCATGTGGTAGGTCACGTTTTAGACCCTTTGCTTCTTCCCTTAAACTCCTTGCTGCAATAGAAAGTTGCCTTAGTTTCATGGTTAGAATAACTTCATAGAAAGTAGCGATAATTATGAAATCTTGGCTGGACCTACACGTGAAATTTAAATTGCTAAATTAAAATAACAGTGTGCCCAGCCGTGCCCAAGGAAGGCTGCAAAGACTGAAACCACTTCTTGCCTGCATTTCTGAGAGTGACTATTGCAACTAACATATACCAGGACTTTTGTGATGGCTCATTTACTGAATATTGGGAAGGAGGCTTTTTCTGTCATTTAACCTTATAGCTTGTTTATAATAGTTATTAAAGCCTTTCTGTCATTAATAGAATGAGGTGTACTGTCAGTCCTTAACTGCACTATGTTTGAATCCTGCTTTTGACTGCAACAGTAGAGCCGGAAAAATCCCATTGGATCCACTGCTCTTTTTCTCTGCCATTATAGAATTGTTACCTTCTGTATGCTATGCATTGTCTATTCTAGTCAGGAGTCTAGTCTAATTTTAAAGGTTGTAAGAAAGCAGGCCATCTCTTAGAAGGCTGTTCCACAGTTTGACTGACTTCACTAGTAGGAAGTTTTTCCTGCTACTCAGATTAAATTGTCTTTCACTTTCCTTGTTGCTCTGAGAGGTAGACAAGGTAACACTTATGCCAATGTGTAAGATGAGGGTAACAAATTGTAGATGCAGTGTACAGTTGTAGCAAATTCTGTCACACTTTTACCTTTGTTTCATTCAGGCAGCAGAGTGATATATCAATTTGGTTGTAACAACTGATGCAGACCCCTGAGGGAAAACTCCCAACTCCCAGTCCCACTCCCTTTTTAAACTGGTTGAAAGTTACATTTGCCCATAGCACTAGTTCAAGGGTTAGCAATGTTTTTGACTGGTGTGCCTAAAACACCCCAACCTCAATCCAGGCCTTGACTTAGCATGACAGGCGCAGGTGGGGGAAGGGAGAGGGGGAAGCTGTGAGGGGTGCAATCCTAGGGGCTGAGGTAATGCTGCCCTGGCCCTTCCCTCGCTGTGCTCCCCAAGATGCATTTGCAGCTGCTGCTGGCCATAAAGCCTAGGCTTACAGCAGGCAGCAGCAGGCAGGCTGCAAACAGCTACACCAGGTTCCAGAGCCTTGGCCCCATTCTATTGGCAATGTGTAGGGGGTGCATTTGCACCCCCAGAGATTGGCCACTGCTGATGCTGCTGGCAGTACCTGTAGACAGTTGCTGCTCACCATCCCTCCCTCACCGCTGACACTGCCAGTGCCTGTGGGTGGTCGCCACTGGCCACTGCTGCCGGCGGTGTCTGCAGGTGATCACTGACTGCCATAGACACTTGCCATCCCTGCCCTCATTGCCGACACTAC